CATCCTCTACTCATGTTATCTGTAGGGAGTTTGGTCATCTCATCAACATTGTTAGTTGGGTTGGTTAACATTATGAAGCCTACAGAGGTGTTAAGATTTATTGATTTCAAATGTGCATAACTTTTTGTCATTTTTTATTTTCCTATATTTTAATAATGTAAAGCACTTTGCATTGCATTTGTACTGAATTGTGCTATACAAATAAATTTGCCTTGCCTTGCCTTGCCTCTTAAAGTCATGCTTTAGAAATCCTGAGAGTTACAGTACTTGTCTCCAGCTATAGGCCTACATGGTAGAGGAAGGACCACGAAAAGCCGCCATACTGCTGGAAGTTAAAGTCATGGTATCTTCACCGATTGTAAATTAATAATATCTTATCTATTTAATTAAAGGATTGTAGGATTTTTTTAAAATTCTAAGTGCATTTTAAGTGGGCGTTAGGCCAGATTAGATGGTGTGTTGGTTATTTTGCCCTTTTGCGAGGATGCTAATTTACTTTGAGCTCAGTTAGTTGTCTAAATATATCATAATTTAGTAGTTTTTAAATAGGACCCCCAAATTTAAAGGATTATTTAAAGGGGGAATTAACTATCAAAAGAACCAAACATGCATGTTACAACTATCCACAGTGATTTAAAAGATTTGCATCTCTTCTTACACTGATCATCAAACAAGTTTCATTATAGTTTAGGTATTATTTTTGCTTCTCATCTTTACTTTCATTTCTTTAGATTGTTGGATGGTTTGTTTGATATCTTTAGCTTTTTGATTTTGTCAGTTTTTTTAAGGTAATTTCCTTGATCCTAAGGCTTCAAATTAGTAATTCTGTGATTCAGTGATTCTTCAAGCAACATTTAAAACATGCATGAATAATGAAAATAAGATTTTATTACCAAAGTTTTTCAAGAATAGACGGTTAAAGATTCCGAGAGTTTAGAGATAAGAGCAGCAGTATGTGTTTGTCCTGCTGTTAATTGGACTAAAATTTGGTGTCTCTCTCTGCTTGTTAAAGTTTCACGGCCTTGGATTCGTCCCAGAGGTATTGAGGATACTGTTTGTCTCTCGCTGTGGGTGTTTTGTAGTCTCACTCACTTTCAACTGTCAGCGTACGGTCTGCCTATTTTCAGTCCAAGTACCACGTCCCCTTCTTCTTATCTCCATGGCAACAGATATGGACTGAACTCTGCCCGGCTCTGTGGGGTCCGAGGGCAGAGGTGGGGTAGTGGGACGGCGGGCCTGACGTCGTGGGGCGAGCCTGCTTTTGATGGGATCAGGATTTGGATCGCTCCAACAGGATGTGGAAAGGTCATTTTGTTTCTGTGTCTTATTTAGTTATCAGCGGCGGTAAATCCTTCACAGCAGTTCACCGATTCTATAGAAAAAGCAGAAAACGATCAATTCGGATTGGCGCTAGAACAGTGAGATGCATGTCTCTAGTACTCCTGCGAAGTCAGCAGTGGTGTCAGCAATAATATGAGGTGATATTTGAAGAGAAAAGCATCTATGTCAGTGTTTTTTTTTATCTGGGTCAAAAACCTCTAAAATCCAGGGCTATGAGAGCATCCCTTTTTTATTTGTAGTGGGTTCTATTTCTTTATGCAAGTAGAAAAATGTACTAAATACACTTACGTTTTTGCACAGTGGGTAAAAACTTAGGATTTTAGAAAAGGAGAAGGAAAAACATTGTTCTTGCATTCCTTTTTATTTTGCAGAGTTAAAGAGAAGAAAACCTGCACTACGATAGCATGTGTGTGACAGCACCTAAAGCATTGTTTGTATTTAACCATGTGGATTTTTCTCAGTTATGTCCCCAGACATTTATTTTGAACGGCAGACTGAAGTCGATAAGCCTTTGCTAGAAGTAAATTGGATCTGCTTCTTCAATCATTTTGCCTGTCAGTCCCTTGGAGCATGTCTGCATTTACCATGAAACACATTCAAGAAAAGATGCAAGAGGACTGGACAAAAAAATGTAGTGTCACAGCTATAGAGTCTTTACTTATTAATTTGAAAGAAAGTTTGCTTTATGAATTTCTTTCGTAACTTTTTTTGGGGTGTCGGCTGATAGGTCAAAGTGAATCTACCTCATTTGATTGTGCAGGAAGATGGCAACAGGTGGAGGGAGAGGGTAGATAATAGCATGACAATGTGAGTGAAACATAAAAGGAAATAAAAGATGAAGAGCTTTTTCTAACTGGGTGCTTAGGTCTTTTGTTAAAGCTAAATCAATGTGTGCATTGCCCTTAAAAAATTTTTCATTACCATTGAGCTTATAAACATTTCACCAAGAACAACCAACAAACTTGTGATTGGTAAAAATCAAAGTTCAGCATAAATGTTAGACAGTGAAAAAAAAATGATATTTAATGTGGTAAAGTTTTAATGAATACATATGAAAGATTTTACTCTGTAAAAACCACCATACCTGTGTAATTTATTTTCTAAAATGGAGTTTAGAAAAATTGTAAACATGTACAAGAGAGCAGCAGCCAAGAGGCCCAGAGTAACTCTGAGGGAGTAGCAGAGATCTGGAGCTCATGATTTTATCAAGAGCTCGGACCCACATGCAGAGAAACCAATTCAGAGACACCAGGGAAAAAGTTTAACAGGTTTATTGAAGAGATAATACAGAATCAAGTGTTGCTCTGAACACTGCTCAACCGGAACTAAAAAGTGAGGTGAAGGCACAGTGGTTAGTTCAGGCTCAGTAGGAAATTTGACTCTTGAACTTGAAGAGGAGAATTTGGTTGCTGACTCACGTCTCCAGAGAAGTTGTTTAAACTTTGACTCCAATCTGTGTGCGGTAGTTCCAGTGTTTGTTTGATTCGGTGGAGGGTGGTCAGGATTTACCCAGAATGTGGTTGTTTGTAGGTGAATGGAGAAGCTGACTGCCACTCAGATTTCCTGCGGTACTTGAACGGGTCATAGTGGAAATGAATCCCTTGCTCAGTGTGAAGCTCAAACAAACTCTTGAGGAAAAGTAGATTCAAACCTCTAGTTTAAATCCTCTGCTCAGTTTGAAGCTCAGATGATCCTTCCAGGGAGAGAAGGTCCGAAACATCCAGTTTGCAGGATGACTTCCTGCCGAGAGGGAAAAACAAAAACAAGATTAAGACTCAGGTTGACAAGAATTCAGTTTGACTCAGCAAAACTCAGCTTGGCTAGAGTACCCAAAACTGGCAAACACTCTGGCGTCGAGGTAGTGGCAGTCAGCAGCTTAAGAGTGCTCCGTTAACGAGGTAACCCTCTGCAGGTGTGTGAGGAGGCGGACCAGAATCAGGCGCCTCCTGGTGGAGGAAGGGAGACAAACACAGAAACACAAAAACACACAGACAGGAAAATCCAGCTTAAGGTTTTCCATTATTGGTGCCCTGATTAGACAAGACTTAATTGAATATACTCTGGCCTACATGCAACAAATGAGTGAAAGAAACTAACTCTGCAAATCCCTTGGAGTACACCGTCCACATTGTCAAACACGGTGGTGACTGCATCATGCTAGTTGTTTTTCTTTTTTTTAAATCAGGGGAAATAAAGTTGATCAGAGTTGATGCAAAGATAGCTGAAGCAACAACAACCCTTGAAGAACACTTCTGAAAATTAGAAGAATGGTTAATTTTCAAGTCGAATAAAAATCGTAAACATAAACGTAGAGCCACAATGGAATGGATTCATTCAAATATTATCCACATAATAAATGGTCAAATCAAAGTCCAGATTTAAATCCAACTACCGTATTAAAAGATCTCAAAAAGATCAACTTCAACTGGTCATCCAATCTAACTGACCTTAAGTTAAATTGCAAAGAATTATATTTAGGAGAAAAGCTGGTAAAGAGTAGAGACGTTTGTCAAAGGAGTTAAATCCTTACCTTCAAACCTTTTATTTATTATATTCAGGTGCTTAAATCCAAAGAATTGCACCATTTAACAATTTATATTTACAAAAATACAAAGGAATACAGAAAAATCCACATAATGCCACATAATGAATATTTATTGCAGTATGTAAACATGTTTGGTTGTAATATAATTAAATTTGAATATGAAAAATTTGTGCAGCTTGTCAAACATCTTTAACAAAAGCAAATCACATAACTTTTTTTTTATTTAAATATTTCTCTTTTCAAAAGCTTATTAATTATCAATTATGTGTTAGTGGTGTTTAATGGGGAAAAAATGCAATTATCTTTGTTACACAAACACTTCTTAAACACAAACTTACTAATGTGCTGCACATGTTGAAGGCCTCTTTTCATCCTCATGTGTCACTGCTTATAATTCTAACCTGGAAGCAGGGAGAGTGAGGAGACAAGATGTACAGAAGGTTAGAAAATTAAAGTTAGTGCTTCATGGGAGAACATCAGATTAGTTATGGCTGGTCAGTTACCCTGAGTGGAGGGGTGGTTGGGAGGGGAAGATGAGGGAAATTAAGACAGTAGCAGAGCAGGGACATGGTTTGAAAATGGGAGTCTTAGGAAACAAATAAAGGGGAGGAAAGTCACAGAAATGGGGAAATAGGTTAAATGAAGAAGAGATCAGTAATATAACAACAGGAGTGCCAGCTGTAGGCCTTTGTCAGACTGGACTTCACACAGTTTATGTCTGAGAGTCCAAAATTTCACTGGTTTATACAGCTTGGTGTGTGCTTTCTTTTCACCAACAGATCCTTTCACAGTCGGGGGTGTTTTAAGCACATATCTAAAGACACCCACAGAATTTTACATGAGTTCCTTTAAATTGGCCCGAATCTTTGAAGGGAGATTTTATGTTGAAGCATCTCATGGTGTGAAAAGCCGGGATTTTTTATTTTTTTTTTATCAGATTGTAAAACCAAACACAGATAAGTTAGCCCATAGTGGAAAGAAGTGGGCATACTGAAGGCTTCTGAGAAGTCTTTTAAATGAGATTAGATCTTCTATTCTGGTTCCTGTGAAGTGATAAAAATTATCTGAATGCTGTGAGTTAAAATAACATTTCTTATTCTTTTGAATCCACCAGACTGAAGAAACCCCAAGAGGAGGAAGAATCAGACATATACCCAAAGAGGAATACGAGAAAGGATATTTGGGTTACTCTGGTAAGCTGGAAACCTGCTTTCTGCATCACATCATACCCACCTCTGATATCATTTTCTAAAACTGTGTGAACCTCCAGCTGTTTCAACATGAAACGCTCTCCTTAAAGTCATTCCTAGTCCCGCAGGATGCAAACACACAGATGCCACTTGGCTGCCATGGTGTGCAGCTCTCCCCAGACTCGGTATTTTCATCTGTGATGTAGAAAACCATCTGAAAGATATTATTGCAAGCACTTTTCTGTAGAGATTGTGAGTCATCAAACAGCTACCCAACCTTTCTCTTTCTCTTCTGAAAGTCTGCAGGGATGCCTGCTTTCTTACGGTAGCTTTGAGGCAAAGGTCACGACTTGCTTGACTGCCATTTGTCTGCTGGCGGAGAATTTTGGCAGCGATGATAGGCATGGGATTACAATGAAGCTGTGTTTCGATGGTCTGACTGTCTTCTTGAGGCATTTGGTTCTCAGTGTAACAAACCCTGTCATCGCTTGCCCGCTGCAGTGGGCGTAAGTACTTAGAAATAACAAAATATCCCTAAGAGCCTGAACTTTGCCTTGTTCTTTACTCCTTTTAGCACATAATGGCTCACAATGAGTGTGTGGAGGTGGCACATTTAGGGATAGAAAAAGTTGTTTCCTTGAACTTTTTCACTATTTGGACTCATTACTGCCAGAGATATCAATGTATTTTATGGGGCTGCACAACATGTAGAGAATATAAAATCTTTTGTTACTAAAACATGCAGTTTAAGTAACTAAAGTACTCTTTGAAATACAAAATTGTTTGCTAAGATTTTCCAAGATATTCAGCCATTTCGATGACCCTACAGTTGGGATGGTTTATGATGTTCAAAGAGTGTTGGATGCGCTGCTTAGAAAACAGGTTAGAAGAAAATGTAAATTTATGTTGTAGTTTTTACCAATAATATCAACTTAAGGTTTTTAACAGTTTTTTTTATAGAAAAAGTTGATATTTTCAGGCATCTTTACTTTTATTACTATTTATTAAGATTAAGCACAACCAGCTGATTTCAAAAGTTACCTATTCATATGCTTGACTCCATTTAAGTATAATTTAAGCTAAGTATAATTTCAACTAATCTACAGTATAAAGACTTCATATGTTTGTTACATACCATAAGTAAAAAAGCAGCAAAATTCTCAAAACCTTAACATTTACCTTCTAACGGGACACCAAATCTAAAAATGCAGCCAAAGCTAAATTGGAAATGTTTAGATTAAAACCTTTCCATGTATTGAAACGGTCTAGTCAAAGTCTGGGCTAAAAAAGTTTCATTTTCCTTCGACTATAAAATACAGTGCTGCTTTGGTTTAGACTTTATTTATAGTGTTTTTTTAAATACATATCTTAATAAAATAGATCGATGTTTGTTGCTCCAGTGTTTTATAATTTGAAGACTTATGCAAGGCCTTGTACTGTATATGATTCTCTGAAACAAGGAGCAACCTTTAATGACCTTAGGCTCCCTCCCCTCTTGTGCTGAACTGAAATTGTTTCAATGATCCTGCAGGCAGTTGATCTGATTCTCATTGAGAGAGGTAACATGGACTGATGGGTGTCCACCATCCAACAGACGCTGCGTCAGGCAGGGAGCCTGCATGGAGACCTCAGAGCTCAGGGACTGAGATAGCTCAAAACTAATCTGCCTCTTGAGTTGTTTTATTTGTGCCGGTGGGGGCCTATCCATTAAAATGCCTGTTGCAGTGCTCCTCTCTCCTCCTGCTTTCCTCTCTGTCGTTCTGTTTGTCTCTGAATTCTTTCCATTTCACCCGTGTCATTGCGCTGTGGCAGCGTGAATGTGTGCTGTGGGCCAGAGAGGCTGAGTCTACAGTTTTCAATGGCCGAGTCACAGAGGACCACACTCAGGAGCGGCACACTGAATTTGGTAGTTTGAAACACAGTGAGGCGTGAAGCGTCCATTGTGAACAGCTGCATTCAGGGCCAGCACCCTCCATTAGAAGGCCGCAGAGGTTTCTGTTTACCTCCAAGCGGCTGTCTTTCAACCAGTTTCTCTCACATGGTCGTCCGGGAGTATGGCAATATTGTTTCAGTGTTTCGATGCCAAATAGGGTTTGGTGGGAAAAAAAAAACCTTCTGGTACAAGCGATAATGTGACATTTTGTCTCCACATCCTTCTAGCTTTGTTTTTCCTCAATTCTTTTTTCATTTGTGATCATATCTGACTCTCTCTTGTCTCCTTTATTGGTATCTTCTGCTTTTTCTTCTTTCTACCTAAAGGGGATGAGGAAAATATTTGTTAGCATGGAAAACATTCGAGATTAACTATAGCTGCTGTCTTTTTCTGATGTTTGACTATTATGTTCTTTACTGTTATTTTTCATCTTATGCTCTAGCAGGTGCAGAGTGGGAAAAATATTCTGGCGGAGAATGTTTCAGGCTACCACAAGTTCACAAAACAAAGTTATCCCAGTGAAATTAACATTCTAGGTAATCCATTTGTGTAAAGTTTATTATGTACAGTTCATCAGAAGTGAGGTACAAACTATTCTAAAAGCATAACCTGAAAATTTTATGAGACACGAATCCCTTCGATTTTAAATTTCACGAAAAATTCCCAAAAACCAGAACATCATGAACAGCATCTTTACCAAGAAAATACATTTTTCTTTCCTTTTTACTTGCATGTTGGTGAAGAAACTACACCGTATGTTGGCTTGAACAGCAAATTTCTACCACAGCTCCATCGTTTATGCTATGAGAGAGTTGGATTTGAAATAAACCCCAGGCTCTGCCTCAGAAACCTTTCATCACCCATCACCCAGCACAGTCCTGAGTACTAGTTCTGTTCAGTGGTTAAACACCCCGTCTTTATTTTATGTACAATTAATACAATCAAAATACATTTAAAAAATGTAATATGACATTTTTCTTACTCTTTGTAATTTTGGTATCATTTTCTTTATTTTATTAATTTTTTCCCTATTTACTTTTGTCTAGCTTTTGTTGTCAATTTGCTAAGTTTTTTTTTTTTTCATGATGCTGCTTTCTTCCTATTACATCTTTCCTCGGGGCTATAGCAACAAGATCTGATGTAGACATATGTTTGATGCAGATGTGAACAAAGATAAGTCTAAATGATGTGCTCTGAAATTGTGCCTGAAGGCTTCTTATCAGACTCCTTAATGCTGTTGTCCACCTGGTACCAGGAGCTCCAGCAACACAAACATCTTAATCTTTTATCTGGTTCGATGAAATTACCGAAAACAAGGATTTGAATTATTATATATTTGATAAATCAGAATTTTTGTACTTTGTATCATGATAAAGATATTTATTTTCCCATGTTATTTTCTTTAGCCATATTTCAAAATTCACATTATCCTTACTAAAAACTAAAATATATGTTTTATTAAGTCAGTTTTGGTGCCCTTGGGTTCATCAAAGTGGTCCTTACTTCCTCATTAAGCTGATTATGCTGGATACACTATGCTAGTGCATGTTCCACCTGTTCTCCAACATCATTTTACAGCATCTTGGTACCACTGGTTTCTTTCTTTCTTTCTCCCCGTCCCTCTGGATTGTCCTTCTTGCTGCAAGCTATATGAGGCAGAGGCTTAACCTGTCCTGTGCCTTAGAAATATTTAGGAGGGAGCTAAAGTAGGGGGATGTATTTGTTTTTTTCTAATCATTCCTGCTTGGTCTGTGGGAGATTAAGTAAAATGCACCAAAAGCATTTGAGTGGGCCAGCAGCAGCCTGTCGACCAGGAACTATCCCGCCTCTCCCGATGGCCAGTTCATGCCTGCTCTCTAATGTTCATCTGAGCTTTATCTTTGGCTCTTTGCTCTCTTGATGTTGTATTTTGGTTTTTGAAAGGCACTGTACTATGAAACAAGGCTGTCATTTGTTGGTGTTCCACTATTGTATGGACAGTGCAAGATTTTTACTAAGTAAATAAAAATGCATTATTATAACCCAAATGGGTTTCTTTCACTTCCAGCTTCAGTGTTGCACATCTGCCCATGCACACACTCCTTTTCCTCCAGCAACAGATGTTCTGCTGTACAGATCCATGTTACCTGTATTTTCTATAATCATTAAAGTGGTACATGATGGATTCCCTGATTAGCACGGTATTTACCCGTGATTAGTCATCAATGGATATTTTCATTTTTGTCATACTGCTGGCGGTCCAGATCTCAGTCTGGATATTTGCAGGTTAGTGGAGGTCAACCTAAAGCTTAATGCTATTGAAAGCAAATCTTACATTAACAAAGACTCTGTAGATCCATGTAAAGACAAACAGATAAAAGAATTCTGCATTGTGGACAATGCTTATTTTATGTAGTTACTTTATATGCAGATCCAAGAGATTTTATAGTGATTATACATTGTATATTTGTGATTCCCATAAATATCACTACTGTCTGAAGCTTACTTTGGGGTTACTTCATAATATTTGCATCACCAGTGTGATCAGTCTAAGTATTTGGATGATTTTGGAAATTCATGATGTCACTGCCACCATCAGTGTTTCTTCTGTATGTTGATGTTTGGGAGCAGGGGGCCCTCCAGCTGATGGTATTAGTGAAATTGCCAATTTAATCTGTAGTCCATGTTTAGTTTACCCTTTAGTTAAAGTGTTTAAATCCAACAACTTGTCATTCGCTTGCAGGAGTGATGCAAGAACAGCAGGCAGAGCTTGCATTCAAGAGAGAGAGAGGAAGAGCTCTCTGTGTAGCACAGTATCTTCTTCCTTTTAGTTTCTAGCTCTGAGGAAACACGCCCACCTTATTTCACTAACCTTTAACTGCTTGCAGGAATATCCTGCATTTTCTCCAGATTTGTGGAGTCTAACTAAATTTTGCAAAATACCCACAATCCTGCTGCAAATTTCTGGACCTGGAAAAGGATTGCAATGGCACTTCTACTGTATACCACACTAAGACCCATTATCAACAAATTGCCTAAACATTGAACAGTGGTGAACATTCCCAGTTGTGGCCGGCAGACCCCAAGAGCG